GAGGACAGACTCTCCAGTTAAGCTGATGTTGTCTAACACTTTCATAGGCCTCATCTACTGGGTGCGTATATGTGCCTCAACTTATTGTGACTTCTTGAATTGTGCAGAGTTTTCTTAGGCAAGGAATACCCAGAGGTGGTTTTGCCAATTTCTTCCTCCAAATATAGTCTACAGCACGTGGTATTCATTGGTAGTCTCCCATCCAAGTACTAACAAGCACTGGTACTGCTTGGCTTACAGGTCCAGACCTTTACAGGTCTGGTGCCTTTAGGGCAGGGGTAGGCAACCTTTTTGAGCCAGGGGCCGGGTTGCTGTCCCTCAGACAATTGGGGGGCTGAAGCACCAAAAATAAATAAATAAATAAATAAAAATATATATTTTAAAAAAATTAAAATTAAAAAAATATGCATGCACACTCTCTCAGCCCCAGAAAAGCCATGGCAAAACCCCTGTGGAGATTTTGCCAAGAAAACCCCAAGAACCAGTAATAACAATAATAATCTATATCATCATGGTGGGTGGCGGCAGCGGCGGCGGCGGCAGGACCGGCCTGGGGCCGGTCCAAAGGCCTCGGGGGGCCACATCCAGCCCCTAGGCCTTAGGTTGCCTACCCCTGCTTTAGGGTATTTAGGCAGCTTTTACATATGCATAAAAGTGACATGGGAGGTTCCTGAAGTGGTAGATGGGGTACCTGTCCCACTGTAGTCCAGAGATGCTGGGATTTTCTTTTTTTATGTGGGAGGAAAGAGGAGGGCATTCACAAGCAGTCCCCCACTTATAATCTGGAGTGGTACAAACCATTGCACTGCTGCAGGACTCTACCACTTTGGTCTCATTTCTGCTGCATGGAAAGACTAAACCATATATTACTGTAGGTGCACAAGAGATACCTCCCTGTCTATGGCAACACTGAAAAGTCCAGAGGTACATGTAATCCCAAGTCTAACAGTGTTCCTTTCTCCCCCTGTTCGATCCAGCAGAGAAGAGGCATCTTGGGTTGATCCAGCATAATTTAACCAGGTTGAAATGCCAATGATGAATTATTTTAAGCATGCTTTCATGTAGATACATTGACACTCATTTGTGGGAACTGGGGATAACCCACGGTTGACTCCTCCACTTTATTATCATTATTATCTGCTGTCAAGCTAACTTTAATTTATGATACCTATGGTACCTCATCTATTTCACAGGAATTTTCTGCAACCACTCTGCAGAAATAATCCAGGTTGATATGACTTTAATTGCCATGGCTCAATGCTATGGAATTCTTGGAACTGTCGTTTTGTGAGACATTTATGGCCAATATAGGGCCTTTGTGGACTGCCAGAAATAGTGCAAATTGAGTCCACTTTGACTGCCCTGACTCAGTGCTAGAGAATCATGGGAATTGTAGTTTATTGTGGCACCAGAGCTCTCTGACAGAGAAGGCTAAATGTATCAGAAAAAAATACAATTCCCATGATTCCCTAGCACTGAGCCAGGGCAGTTAAAGTGGACTCAATTTGCACTATTTCTAGCAGTCTGCAAAGGCCCGAAGACTGGCCGTTTGGGGCGGCACAGAGCTGCCCCAGGAAGCGGTGGATCAGGGCTGCGGCAACCCCACGCCACAGCCTCGATCGTCCCTTTTGCCGCCCTAAGAGCTGGCGCCGCAGCTCTTCTACGCCCTTTTGGCACAGCATGTTTAAACACTGTGCTGGGAGGGCATCCTGATGCCGTGTGCCATGTGGATGGCTGTGTGGCCTCAGGACGGCACCGGGGTGGGGTTGGGGTAGCTGGTGTGCAGCTGCTCCACCCCAGTTACACCTCCAGTCTTCTCTGTCAGAGAGCTGTGATGCCACACCAAACTACAGTTCCCAGAATTCCATAGCATTAAGCCATGACAGTTAATTTGTGTCAATCTGGATTATTTGTGCAATGCAGATGCAGCCAAAGATGGTAACCACAGGTTCTAAGATTACACCAGCAAGTGCCTTCATGTTTTTGTTCTCATTGATATTTCCTGTCAAGTTGGTTGTGACTCATGGCAACCCTATGAGTGAGAGACCTCTAAGAGCCCTGAACATCAACACCAACTCAATTATTGCAACTTCAGGGTTGTGGCTTCCTTGATTGAAACAAGCCACCTGTATTAAGTTCTTCTTTTCCTATCACTCCCCACTTCATCAAGCACTATTGCTTTTCCAAATTTGTCACCTCATCTCATGTTGTGTCTAAAGTACGACAGTCTCAATTTAATCATTTTGGCTTCTAGTGAGAGTTCAGCCTTGATTTGCATTACAACACATTTATTTGTCTTTTTGGCAAATAAGTATCTGCAGAACCTTCCTCCAGCACCAGATTTCACTTTAGCTGATTTACGGTACTTCCTCTCAGTTTTTTCATTGTCCACCTTCCACAAACATTCATAGAAATCGTAAATACCATGGCATGGATGAACCTGACTTTAGTATTTAATAATGCAGCTTTACATTTGAGAATATTATCTGATCCCTCCATAAATGAAAGCTGAAAAGCATGGCTGTAAATCATCTTGGAGTTTGTAAAGGATATTTTGAAATCTGTCTTCCATGCTGACCACGAACCCATCATTTTACTATGCATCTCCTCTGTCAGTTTCCTGTATACCTAATATATTTGGGTGTTGATCCCCCTACCTTAATCTGTGCTCCTCCCTCGCTATGCATCTTCTCTATAGACCTATCGGTGCTCCAGAATGCATGCTGTTTTTAATCTTATGTTCTTATTTTAATACTGTATTTATTCTTTTAAAGGGGGGGGGGTATTTGTTATTATTGTTATTATTGTTTTTATGTAAAGTATGTTTTATTTAAATTGTTTCTTATATTATGTAAGCCGCCTTGATTGCTTTGGCAAAAGGCGGGATATAAGAATAAAGTTGTTGTTGTTGTTGTTGTTGTTGTTGTTGTTGTTGTTGTTGTTGTTGTTATTATTATTATTATTATTATTATTATTATTATTATTATTATTATTGATGATGATCTTTAAAGAGGAACCCAGCATTCTTAAAAGCTGGCGAATGGTCTGTGGAATCTTCCATTGTGCAATAGGGTTCTTGTGAAGGAACCCATGGACCTGTAGTTTAAGCTGGAATCTTTCTGGACCTGAAGTTTAGGTTGGAACAAAGGTAGCTCTTTGTAGAACAGGTCTTGCACCTAACAGAGACCTTTGGAATCTCATTCAATATATTGAGCAACTTTGGTAATGAAACCTATTTTAGATGGTCCAAGAAAGGGGCACAAGGTTGAAGGTGCATGCAACAATGTCCTCTCTTACTTTCGTGCCTTCCTGTAAATTTCTATTTTGCACTTTTCAAGAAGCTACTTTAGGATAATGTAATGCGTAAAGCACCTGCATTATCTCTTGTTTTTGAGTGTTCAAGGATCTTGAAAGGCCTCATTCATTAGTGAAAAAGTGATTTCATCTCTGTTTGGAAAGGATCTGTTTGGATGCCAAGATGTTACAAGGTTCAGGTCTGTAAAAGGCCTGCTTGGTTTATTGAGCTTCCCCTGAATTATAGACAGATTTTCTTATAAAATTGTGTATGCCTTCATTCTGCCTTTGCCTTCTTGGATCCTCTATTTTGTTTGTGTGAAAGCTATGGTCTTGAATTTTTCTTACTAGGATCTGGGCTCTTACATCTGATATGTGTGGAAATGAGGACAGATCTGTTCTTCTTGCCTGCTATTTCCCAACATTCCTATCTTGTACAAACCTAGAGAGGCACTGGAATGGCACTTTCCATTAACTTGATCTAGCTATTGAGTTCATGGTACATCAGTACTTAGCGTCTCATCCTAACTTTTTTTCACACTTTCTGGGTATTAGCAGAATTGAACCTGCATGTTCCAAGGTTTTACAGATAGGGGCTCCTGGTACTGGGATATGAAGATCTTCTTAACAGATGTTTTCAACAGATGGATTTGTTGAATCCATGAGGAGTTTTCCATTGTGGGGTTCAAGGAACTTGAAAGGAAAGCACAAGTGACAATGCATCTTACTTTTCTACAAGATTCTGTGAATTGGTGCAATTGTCCTCATTTGTGGAGGATATCCAAGGACCAACTGCAACGTCAAAGCTTTTATATTTGATTGCATGAAGGTTATTGAGGGAACACAAGATTTGAGCTTTCTTGGTGTATTTAGCAAAACAGGTCACTGTGTCTTACTTGGTTGAAGGAGTCGGCTCCCAGCACTCAGGTCCTGTTCTTGTGCTGTGCTCAATATCATGGTCTGTAAGTTCTGGACAGATTTTGGCTATCCAGTTGGCCAATAAAGTGACCCCTCCCTCTCAAATTCTGCAGAAACATAGGTTAAACTTGTAGCTTCTATTACTGAGATCTCTGGCTTGGTTTGTGGTTATGAAGTCCATTAACTACTTCTGTTCTCCATGGAAGTACTTAGCTCTAGCATGAGAGGCTGATATTGATTATATAAAGTGCAGTAGCTCAATCCACGTGATCTGAATTCCTATAGTAGATCCTTTATTGATTCCTCAGGCATTAGGTCACCCTTGATCTGGCCTTTTTTGGCACCCTTTGTAGTGCCATGTTATAGGCCATTAGCAATTCATCTTAGGCAAAAACTCGAAATGATCTTTTGGTGGAAAATTCAAGATAAGATTTCATTCAGCCAATTGTTCTGCAGTTTGTTTTGTTCCTTTGTGCAGGATTGCTGCTTGGTGAAAATTGAAATTTTTAAAAGGGGCTTTATATTTTGAAATTATTGTGTACAGAACAGAGCAGATTAATTATCCATCTATCTTTATTGGTAGGTAGCCCCACTCCTGCCATTCATTAACTCTAAAAAGGTTTTATAGCATGCTGTTTTAAAACTCAGCACGGTTCTTTCATTAGCATTTTATATTTGGTAGTTGTCACACACCCCACTCCCAAAGAGTATAATAATGTTCCATACTTCCAGCAGAGAATGTGTAATACATTGAACATTTAAAATCTTAAGTTTGTTAGTTCATGAAAGCCAGCATGGTGTAGTGATTTGAGTGCTAGACTGGGACTCTGGAGACCAGAGTTCAAATCCCTGCTCAGTCATGGAAGCCCATGGGGTGAACTTGAGCAAGTCACACTTTTACAGCCACAGAGGAAGGCATAGGCACCCCCAACCCCCAAACAAATCTTGCCAAGATGTTAGGTTTGTCTTAAGATCACATAAGTCAGAAACAACTTGAAGGCATACAACGAAACAACAGTGATGCCAGCAATGTGATTCCCACCTCCTTTTGTGATGGACTGATACTATTGCAATACATACACACACACCACATCCTTGGGGATGCAGAAACACTCACCCAGTGTTGTGCCAACATTTGTCTGCTAACCCAACAGGACATTTCTACTCTTCTCTCGTGATTTTGATGATGGAAACAGTTCTATTAGTGGAACAACCTATTATATCCTGGTCACAGTAGTATGTACGGAGGAAGTGGTGAGGGAAAATAATATATGGCAGATCTATAGTCACCACACTAAATGAATTTATAGTGTTGAAGAGGCCTTACTTCAGTTATCTCATTTAATTTTCTTTCCAACTTTCCTCTTTCTTCTCCATATTAATGCTGCTCTTCCAACTTCTGTTATGGAATTCTTCTGTAACTGGAATCCCAAATATCTGAAGACTTCTCAGAATTTGTAGTCAGTTCTACAATATACAGCTGCTAAATTAGTATGACCAGAAGTAGAAAATGCATCTGCCAAGTTCTTAAACTACACTGGCTTCTGGTCTGTTTCTGAGTGCAGTTTGAAAGACTAGTAGTGCTTAGCAGGACCAATCCAAGAGAATCTGCTGCTGGCAATGTCTCCACAAGTCAGGGAACACAATCGCCATGAGGTTGACATTATTTTGGCATTTTTGGCAGAAAAAACTACAAGCATCTCTCACCATCTCTAGAAGTATGGGGAAAATGGGGGGATACAAAGTCATGAGAAAGAAAAACACAACAGTCAAACAGAAGTAATCTGTTTGGTATATATGCTTTCCTTTTCCTTTATCTGAGAGATGCTACTGGCATGGGATGCTAATGGATGTCTAAGGGACCTTTCACACTACACAGTTCTAGCACTATGATTCCATTGTAAGTGACGTGGTTACAGGAGGCCCTTGATATCTGCTGGGATTTGGTTCCAGAACATCCACCCCCACCTGTAGATACCCATGGATGTCCAGGTCCTATTAAATACAATGGTGTAGTAAAATGGTGTTCCTTATATAAAATGGCAAAACCAAGGTTTGCTTTTTGGAATTTATATCTTTTTTGAATATGTTCAAGCCATGAATGGTTGAATTCATGGATACAGAATTCGTGGATGTGGAGGGCTGACTGTACATCCTAGGAAACACACACACACATTTCCTTGCCCTCTTCCAATTTAATTCCCAGTTGGCCCCACCACACCTTAGTTAAGAAAGGGGTCCTTGAATGGAAAGGTGCAGATGTGAAGGAAGAGTGTGCAGAATTTCCCTTTCTTTTTAAAGAGAGATCTGAGTGTTACGCAGCCCGAGCAGATGGGCAAAAAACAACAACAAAAAACTGCTTCCCAGTTAATGGAGAGGTTTAAGATGGACTGGACTCTAGAAAGATTAGAAGAAAGAAAGGAGATGATGCACTCTTCAAGACAAAGGTAAAGAAAATATCAAAATTTTATAAAGTGTTATTGAAAAGAGAATTGGAACAAGACACCATTAAAGAACCAATGTTTAAATGGAGTCAATATGTGAAACACACAATTGCATTAGAAAATTGGGAAATAGCATGGAGAAAAATGCAAAAGTTTACACTTTGTCAAAACTTGAATTCAAGCTTAAATTTTATATTATTATAAAATGCTATATTCTTGACATCTAACTCCAATAAAACTTTGAAAAATATTTAAACATAAAGAAGACAGATGTTGGAAATGTCAAGATAACCCAGTTAGCTATCTCCACATGTGGTAGAACTAAATTGGAAAAAATTCAGAGAATCATGTCAGAAATACTAGGCATAAGATTACTGACAGAGCCAGAATTCTACTTGCTTAGTATGACAGACATGATAGATAGAAACTAGGAAAAATATTTTGGAAAATCATACTGTACATGATTACAACTGCAAGAATACTGTATGCAAAAAATTGGAAACTAAACAAACACCAAAAATAGAAGATTGGTTAGAGAAAATGATGGAGCTGAAAGAACTGGATGTACTATCAAGAAGAATCAGAAGGGACACAACAGCGGAGAGATAAGAAGCAGAAGAAGATTGGAATTTAATTAAGAAGTATTTGAAAGATAAATGGAAAGAAACTGGTGGATGGAATGAGAAGACAGAAAGAGATGTGAGAAAGAAATCAATATAGAAATCAAATTGAACAAAAGAGAACTTCAAAAGAGTAAAGAAAACCTTAATAATAAAAAAGTCATATTTGCTAAATAGATGATATGGTGGAATAGCAAGATTAATTAAAACAAAGTTATGCAAAACACAAAAATATGAGCCACAAAAAAATAAACTCCAAAAATGCTAGGAAGGAAGTAAATCAAAGATTAAAATGTATTATTAAAAAGAAAAAGAAAAGGAAAAGAAAAATCATTCCAATTCTGTGTACATATAGAGACATGTAATTGCCGAAATTTGTAAGACTGGAGGTAATTGTATATCATATTTATTCCAATAAATTATATATATTTTTAAAAAGCCCTCTTCTGAGTGTCATCGGCACACAGCATTTGACGCTGCAATCCCAATAAAGGCTGGAAGCCAGATTGAAGCCACCTGGCTGCCCAGACATGGGTGGCTTCATGATGCTGCAATGGTGCGGCATTTATACACTACATGCCTCTGGAGCATCTTAAAACCGGCTTTGAGCCATGGCAGGGCAGAAAAAGCTGGCTTTTCACTGGCCGAAAAGAAGCAGATTTTATTTGCTCCTATTTTGGCTGGCTTGATGGTGGATTGGGGCCACGGTGTCTGTTCGGTGTGGCCCCAATCTGGTTTCCTTCCTGCCCATCTGTTTCCCTTCAGAGTCACCCACACTACTCAATTATAGCACTTATGTTTCTTCTTTAACTGCCATGGCTGCTTCCTATAGAAACTTGGCATTTTTTAGTTTGTTGGGACATTAGAGGAATATCTAAGGACCTTTGCAGACTGCCAGAAATAGTGCAAATTGAGTCCACTTTTAGGGTTAGGGTTAGTGCTAGGGAGTAATGGGAATTGTTTTTTCCCCCTGAGACATTGAGCCTTCTCTGTCAGAGAGCTCTGGTGCCACAATAAAATAGTTGCCATGATTCCCTAACCCTAACCCTTAAAGTGGAACCAATTTGCACTATTTCTAGCAGTTTGCAAAGGCCCTAAGTATCCCTCCCTAAACTGAAGATCCCAGGATTTGATAGAATAGAACCATGGCAGTTAAAGGGAAGACAAAGTGTTATAATTGTGAAATGTGAAAAGGCCCCACATTTTTAAAATGGATATCTCAGTAAACTGGGGAAAGTAGAGAAAACCA